ACATTACTGTTGGATTTAATATATTCGGCACAGCATCGTCTTTTAGTTTCAATTTTTCTGAAAATCCTGCATCGAATTGTGCCTTGTTTGTAAATGAATCCGCAGTAAAATGAAGTCAACAAAAGTCCAAGTTTTTACTGACGTGGTCTGGCACTTCATTAAAAATAAAGTTTATAGTTTGGTTTCTGCGTAGAGCTGTGTTTGCCGCTCTTGTCATTTACCCAATATGTGCGCGAATCTGTGGGCGGGGCTAAATAGACAGTGACGTAGAAGCAGGCGTTGATCTTCTTCTGCGGAGGCGGTGCTTATCCACACTATTACATCGTAAAGTGGCACATTCCACAACTTGTCGTTTTGGCAGATTGGCTTCAATATAAGCTGTTTTTAGAGTAACAAGAAAGTTCTGAGTTCTGAAACTTACAGAATGTTTTTATAGTACAATGACCTCTTATATATCAAAAGATCAATGGAATTTTGATTTCTCAGTTCATGACCCCTTTAAAAACATGCAAATGTTGAATTTTCTTCACTGACAATTCCATCAACTTGTCCCGACTCGAACGTCTTTCACACTGGCCTCTGTATTTCTTTCAGGTTTTCCTCTCAGGTGCGGATAATGTTCTCTCTCCTGGTGATCTTGGTTGTGTTTGTGGTGACCACAGCGCTGGTGAAAGTGGACATGTCTGGCTGTAGGATGCAGTTTTTTGGGGGAACGCTGGCCAGTGTGGCGCTGGTCAGTGGGGCGTCCAACATCTTCTCTGGCAGTGTGTTTGGTATCAGTGGCTACTTTCCAATGAGGATATCTCAAGCAATCATATCAGGTACCACTACAAGTGTTCATCCTCTTGAGTTGACTGAAAGGAAATCGGTGCTATTTATCTCTAAATATATTTAAAAAAACAGCCAACAGCACAATATACAGTGGAGCCACAAGACTAAGCTTGTGTCTTTTGTCTTCAGGTCAGGCCATGGGCGGCACTTTGAGTGCATTGGCATCAATAGTAGACCTGGCTGCCTCGAGTGACGTGACCGACAGTGCGCTGGTGTATTTCATCACAGCAGACATCTTCACTCTTGTCTGTATCATCATGTACCTGCTGCTGCCTAAACTGTCTTACTCAAGGTGAGCGAGTTTGCTTAACATATAGCACAAACCCATTAAAGGTATGACATTTCTATCATTGCATAACCCTTGATAGCCATTATGAATATTCCACTACACTAAACATTTGACCCCACAAACACAAAAGGAGCATTGTTTTCTTCCATTTATCTCATGAATATCTACCATATAAAAACCTGACCACATGATATTCACAGAGCTCTTTGTTGAAAGGGGAAGTGTGGTGCTGGTAGTGAATCCATGAGTTTCATCGGCGGTCTGGGGTCAAACCGCAGTTTCGTGACACAGTTGTGATGTAGAGATCAGCAGTTGCTGATGTGCCAACATACTATTTTTATATGCTTGAGTTAGGGATTTTTCAAAATCCTATATCCACCAAACAGTCACAAAAGGAGAAGTGTAGCAGAATCTCTTTTCCAATACAATGGCATTGAAAGGAGACTCTTTCAAGCACCTGCAATGTAATAAAAGAGACAAGGGTGTATAATTACAGTCCATATGACTTTGGTATTATATTATATTATATACCTAATTGTCTAAAACCGTATGACATAATTGTGTGAAGAACAGCTGTCAAATCTTATTCAGATTCAAATGTCATTGTGCAGAAAAGAGCATCTTGGAGATTCTGTGAAATATCTCCTTTGTTCAACAGTTGAAAGCTTTAAAGGTTTTAGAATAGCATGGGGGTGAGTATATGATGATGAAAATTATTGATGTAAATGCAGTACTCAGAGTTACCGTGAAGTGGCACTAGAGCGCTGCATTTACATGATGCGATTATATCAAGAAAATTGTGTTGAATTGTTAAATTATTACTTGATTAAATCACAAGAAATGATTTAAACAATAATGCAAGCAAATCACATTTGTTTTGTGTAAATCATTGCTTGTAAATCCTTACTTTCAAGAACCTATCATTGATTTCTATTCTATTCAGTAATGAAAATATTTGATAAAATATAAAAAATTCCCATTATTGGAATAAGTTGGAAAAGTATTAAACAAAGAATTAAACTAAAGAAGTAAACAAGCCTTGGCAGGGTTAACAGGTGAGTGTACATATCATAATCATTATTTTTGCAAAAATAGTTTCAAACATATTTTTTACATGGATTTATTATTTTTAAATATTGAATTTAATGACTTTTTTTACACCATTTGGCAATCTGAATTAATACAATTTCCGTAACATAAAAGGTCAAGTGTCATCAACATACTACCAATCATACCAAATTACCAATATCAGTATTATATCAGATATTTAATCAGTATTATTCTTAAAACTATTTGTAATCTTGACACAATGAGGGTCTACAGGGGTCTTCTGTTTAAGTTTATCTATGTCGCAACACAATAAAATGGCCGACTTTTTAAACAAAACACAAATGACAAAATTATAAAAGTGAACAAATTTCAGCTTAAATTATAAACATTTTTTACAACAAAATGAAATATATTTATATGAATGCAATCATCATCATCATTGATTTAGTGTCTGGACACCACCTAAACACATTTGATTTTGAGCCCCACAACAAAATTGTCATTCAGAAATAGAAAACAGGTTTTTACAAAGTTCATGTTATTTTATAGAAATGTGTTGTGTTTTATAGAAATAGTAATGCGAGATTTGGAAACATATTTTTTTTTTAAGAATTTCAGCCTAAATGGTAAACAAATATTAATAAATAAATAATAACAACAATCAGTGAAACCCTGTATTTCAGTTTTCAGATTTTAGACTAAACCCCATGACAACATTTTAACATTTCAGAAGCACAAAACTAGTTTTTACAATATTCATATTATTTTATAGAAATGCTAACAAAAGATTTGATAAATACGGTTGGTAAACAAACAAATAATAAGTGAAACCATTTATTTCAGCTTCCAGACAGTTACACCACCTGAACATTTTTGACTTTAAGCCCCACAACACAATTGTAATACAGGAACGGAAAATATGTTCATCACAGTGAATGTCTCTATGAATTGTATTTTGTGACATTCCTAATTATAATACCAGGATGTCTGTCTGTCTGTCTAACTCTCTTTCAGGTACTACATGGAAGTAGCAGCTGTACCCTGTAGTGAGTCTAACAGCCACAGCAGCCGCTCAGACTCGTCCTCTGGATCCGTGCCGCCCCTCAAACCCATCCTGAAGAAGACCTGGGTTCTGGGCAGCTGCGTCTTCTACGTTTTCTTCATCTCCATCCTGATTTTCCCTGCTCTTTCCTCAGGGATCCAGTCTATGAATAAAGACTCTGGAAGCCCTTGGGCTAGCACATACTTTGTGCCTCTGACTAGTTTTCTACTGTACAACGTTGCAGACTTCTGCGGCCGCCAGGTCACGGCCTGGTTGCAGGTGCCGGGTCCCACCAGCCGCATGCTGCCATTGCTGGTGGTCTCCAGAAGCGCCTTGGTTCCTCTCTTCATGTTCTGCAACTATCAGCCCCGGTACCATCTGCACAGTGTGTTCTTTGCACATGACCTCTTCCCCGTGGTCTTCGTCTGTCTGCTGGGGATTTCGAACGGGTACCTGGGCACACTGCCCATGATCTACGGGCCCAAAGTGGTGCCGCGGGAGCTGGCTGAGCCTGCGGGGGTCGTCATGTCCTTCTTCCTCACGCTGGGGCTTGCTGTGGGGTCAGCCTTCTCTGTGGCGCTCGTTCACTCTATCTGAGTCTAAATGACTGGCTGCCTTTCAGACCTTTACAGTATTGCCACAAGACTGATTGTTTACACTACAGCACTCAAGAAGACTTTTGCCAATTTAAGAAAAAAAAAAATATATATATATATATATTTCCTATTTTTTTGTTACAGTATGCATTTTAGTGGTCACAATGAAATGGGTGTGTTTTATTTCTAGTTTTTAATCTAAATGTTTTTTATGCGTTTTCTATTAGTCAATTTTATTATTTTTATTTTTTTCAGAAAATATGCCATCATGTTTATCCATTTTGACCTTTATAATAAAACATTTGTATAAAAAGAAGCATTGTATGTGTACTTATGCTTTAAGGGTTTTAGTCATGTTTACAATGTGTTATCGTGAATGGACATTTTCAAATTAAATGCAAAAAAATATAGCATATCTAACATCAAATAAATAATTACAAATATTAATCATAGAAACCTGCCATCTATACAATTGTCACTTTTTTTTTTCAAAATGAAAGCTCGTGTTTAAATGCTTGAAATTAATTTTGTTAAATTGTCAACATAAATTCAAAATAGCTGTGATGCACCATGTACTTCTGCAGCGTCTACTATCTTTAAGAAAATATTTCAAAATATGTCGTTTTAAGAAATGTGTTACATTTGAGAAAGATTGGTGATTACATTCTTGTTTTCAGTTAAACGAAACAACTTTTTTTCATTTCTTTGTGATTTAAGGGTTAATTAAATATGAAGACAATGAAAAACAGCAGTAACCTGCAATTTCACACTCCTGACCTATTAATGTAATAGACTATTATTGTCACCTCACCTCCTCATTTATTAGCCTTGCATGAGGAAACAATCCTCAGATGCAGAGGCACCTGTCCATTCTTCTGTATGCATGTCCTGCAGCAGCTCTGTGAGATTGTGAAGCTGTGAGGAGGAGACACACAGTTTATCATCAGGTTGTGTCGTCTTTGTGATGCTCATGGAAGTGTGAGTTAAAGCCCACCCACCCATACAAACTAACCAAAGGATTCAGGACCACCAGAGGTAGCCCAAAATATCCCACCGGAGCACATCTTCTCAAAAACATGGTACGTAAACACATCCTTTAATACGTTTTTATTGAGAGGAGACAGCGACTTAAGTAAACAAATGGGAAATGCCGTGGATTGAGTTTTATCTTAGTGTACTTTGCCCTACACACGATTTGCGAATTTAACTAGCTGCCCTATTTATGACTACTAGTAAGTGTTTACTACGAACAACATAATTATAAATTACAAATCATGTGATATTTTCTTCTAGTAAAAAGTTGTCTGCTGGCGATTTTATCTGCGATTTACGGGACACCGGAACACATGCTCTTTTTTTTTTTTTTAAAGCGTAATCAGTTTTATTTTTCCTGATTTGTGTGTTTAGATAAAGTCACATAGGCCTAACGTTACCCTCGCGAAAACCAGATTGTCCGTCTAATTTTTATAATAAAGCATAAAACGGCAAGGTTGACCTGCCAGAAAAGTGAAACCAACCTAAAACCAAGCCAGGGCCAAACTGACATGTTAATATTTCGTAGTTCCTCTTTGCTCTGTAGCTTAGAGCTCCGCAATTCAGAAAGGCTGTAACGAATGTTAAATGTGGGTTTTTACGAATAACTTATGTTGTATGTTTTTGATTCATTACAAATAACCGGCTCTTGAGAGTCATTTGATTAAGAATCATTTTGCTTTTGATTAAAGAACCGACTCATAAGATTCATTCGTTCGAGAATCTGACTACAGTATTCATGTTGTATGATGATTCTCTAAAAAGAACCGACTGTCTTGTCGGTTTCGAGTTGTTGCCCAGTAGCGGTGATGTTAACTACTATTATGGGCGGATAATAATTCTGTGGTAAACATACTAAACAATAAAGCGTATTCTAAATAAGAGCCGCCAGGTTCCTACTACAGGAAGTGACATCATCTAGTAGGATAACAACAGCACAAGCATCAGTAAGTACTAGCAATGGATTTAATATATGTTATGTTAGGTATCCTGGCCGTTTTCTTGTCATTATGTCGATATTACAATTATATTATTAATGAAGACGACGTGACGAACATATTCTGATATTTATTTTTCTATAGGCTAAATACTAACTTAAACATAAGCATGCTCATTTTAAGAGGTACAAACAAAAATGACCAAAAAAATACATTGGTTTTATATCTGCATTATATCAGCCGCCCTGCTCTCTTAAGTAAGAGTAATATGAAAAACGCATATTACTTCACAGTTTTAATTCAGTGTTAAGTGTTCATAACAAAAATGTATCATTAACATCATTTACTGCGTCGTAGTAAATAATTTACTGCATTGAACACTTTCTCCTTCAGTAATCATTTACTCCAGATAAGTATTTGACATTGGTTTATAAAATACAAGTTCCATGTTTCTGGTTTTAAAGCGCTTAACATGTTATGAGTGGTGCAAATGAAGAGTAATAGTGTTGGGTTGTTGGTTTAAATCCGTGTGCATCTTCTGCAGACAGAGGAAGGCATCATGCTGGATGAGGTGCTTGTGAACGAGCAGCCGTCCACAGACACAGAGGAGACAGCGCCATGTTTCCAGACTCCGGGCCCCACTGTCACCTTCCACAATCTCCGCTACCGCATCAAGGAACGATTAGGAATGTTTAGTAGGCAGTGGGTTGAAAAGGACATCCTCAAAGATGTCAGGTAATGGTTTGACATGTTCTGCTAGTCAAACATTTGGACACACTTGCTCATTCCATAAGCATGCTAGCATAAACCTGTAGGAAAAACATAGTGTAGGGTAGGGTAGTGTAGTTTTAGATTGTTTTAATGCAATCTAAGCTGACTAATTAATGCAATTAGTTAGCCTAGATCTGACATGTCCCAGCCTGCCCATCTGTATTTTGAGGGGTGCAGTAATAGGGACAGTGGTCACGGGGGATCTGAAAGACTAAATTTATCTTAAAGGGGTCATATGATGCGATTTCAAGTTTTGCTTTCTCTTGGAGTGTTACAAGCTGATTGTGCATAGATAAGATCCCTGAAGTTGCAAAGACTAAAGTCTCAAAACCAAAGAGATATTCTTTATCAAAGTTAAGACTCTGCCACGCCCCCCTAAAACGGCTCGTTCTAACACGCCCCCACATATCTAGGTCACTATGTGGGAATATTTGCATAATGCAGCCCAAATGTGCACGCAAAGAAAGAAGGCATGGTTTCAGTAACCGCAGTTAGTGTTGAAGCAGCCATGTCAGGGAGACGCTGTGTGTTTCTAAACGAAAGCAAAAGCACTTTATTTGGCCTTCCGAAAGTAGATGCATTTAGGAATCTTTAAGATTACTTACAACAGAACAGCAATGCATTTTATGGACGACCGTTTCATGAACCTAGGAGAGGAGATAATTCTGACTTTGCTATGACAATCTGGCGCTTCTGAATCAGCTACTGTAAGTATGTTTTGTTATTAGTTTAAGTATTTGCTATTGACTGTTCAAATGCGGAGTTTTGCGCATCGTGTGCGTGTGCGTGTG